GGCGCTCTTCACATGCCTATCTCCCACGATTGTCCGTCCCGCGGACGGACGTTCTCTCCCTCGCAAGCAACACGGGATAGAAAGTTGCTCCACGAAGAAGCTGAGAGAGAAAGAGAGAGAGAGAGAGAGTATGTGTGTGTGTATGTGAAAGAGAAGGAGAGAGAGAAAGTTGATTAATCTCTACAATATTTAAGAAGCGCCGGAGTCGAGAGCAAAAAGCCTTCCGCCCGAGCTTTACGAGAAATATAGCTTTCCCCGCTATATAAATTCCCCTGACTAATCCGCTGTTTGCATCGATGTGCCTCTTGCGATGTACCCTGCGGTATCCTTCATGTCTTGTTCACTTTGTAGCAACGCATCGTTAGCTCTCGTGGCCACGAAATGTATCGCGGACTTATGTAGGTTTCGAAGAGTTAAAATTTGCCTCAAATAGAATAGACAAAGAAATTAATCGAACTTTTCGTATTCCTTCGCGAGATAGTTTTATCTCGAAGCAACATTTATAAATAAAATATATTATATTACTAGCACAACACAGACGCGTGCTACGCGCACGCTATTATTGTTTTTATTTTATCGTGTTGTGTCAGTGAACACAACCTGTCACCGCGATGACAGCTAGTATATACGTCTTACAAATCATGTACACATTAGAGAGATGTCAGAAATAACGCATGAAAATCAAAATCAAAAAATAGTGAAAAAGAAAAGTGGAAAAACACCATGTGACTAAAGTCACGTGACAAGGAAAAGAGTAAAAAAGAGAATATTATATATATTATATATAATATTCTATATCTATATATAATACACATATATACATATATATATATATATACTGTAATCACGTGACCAAAGTCACTGACCTCGCCGCGGTCATCCGGTCGAGGTCAGTGACTCCGCCAAGGCCGCGCGGCCGAGGTCAGTGACCCCGCCAAGGCCGCGCGGCCGAGGTCAGTGACCCCGCTGCGGTCACTCGGCCGAGATCAGTGACCTTACTGTAATATGTGTATAACACATATAATACAATATAAAGTATAATATAAATATATAATAAATTATATGTGTAATATATATATTATTTAATGTTATATATAATATAATTTGCAGTCACTTTGCTTTAGTCACGTTTTTAATTTTCTCCACGTATACGACGAACTGTCAACATTGCTTTTATGTCATTATTTACTCTCTCAATCTTACCGATTCGATTCGACTTGACTCGACTTCTCTATCAACCAACCAATCAATCGGCAACGCGGAAAGAAGGCAACAATAGATGCGACACATTCGACTCAAAAACGCGCATTTTGCGGTAAACATGGCTTTTTTATGAGGGACACGTGCAACATCAAAAAGTTTACGCGCGAAAACACAGAGATAGAGAAGATAATGTTGAGATACTAACCGAATGAATGTAAATCTGATTTACAGTGATTATGAAAAATAGACAGGAACAAGGGATCATGTTTTGAACTGCACTATGTGTAGATATATATCGTGGTTTCCGATAACCGCTTGCGTATAGTCCGCGGGATTAAGCTTATATGAAACGCAACGCGTGGTTTTAGTTTTATACCGAGAATTTACGGGCGCGGAGAATTTTTATCGACGCGCGCGCATTCGTTGACATTCTGTGTCAAACACGACAGTTGTATCGCGCTTTTAATAATTCGCAATGACCGACTCGCGATTGATCTTGTTTTCGAACGTTCGCCCTCGCGCGAGTGGATTCTCGTTCGCGATATCTCATAAGCCATTAAACTAATCCGCACTAAACGCGCGAATCCAAATGTGCGAATGACGCCGAATAATCGTCGCTCTTTGTTCCGCGCGCCGGGTAGGTAGGGGAAAGGAAGGTGTGTGTATTTATGCTGGGTGCGAGCTCGGCGGGAAACGCGGTGTAGATTGGTGGTAGATAGAATTGTGCGGATCGGCAATTGCGTTACATTGTTTATCGCGCCTCGTGGCGTTAACTCGCGGCCACGTGCCCACCGGGGATTTCGTGGTACGCGCGTGCATAACTCGCGCGTTTTAACTATTTCGAAAGCGGATTTTCGATGGTGGGGTTACGATACTTAATTACAAATTGCCCTTTCTCGAACGTGAGAGAAAGAGAGAGAGAGAGAGAGCGCAATGTCGACGGAAGGAATCGCGGAAATGGATAATTGCGTTACTAATCACGCTTTGCAGGTGGAGCAAAGCTTACGAAGTTTATCGCACACTTGACTGCGATAACTCGCACGTTGCAGCCGCCGCCACCCGCTGCGAGAGGCTTCCGGCACGTTTTCCGGAGTCAGAAACGAGTTTTCGAGAAAAGAATATGTACGTTTGTTCTCGTAATCGATAATAGACGCGAGATACCGATAAAATCTACAATTTTTGAGAATCCATATAAGTATCAAATATTGACGTACATTACGTAATATTGACACAGATATACCCGAAAACTGTTTCCGCTCAATAAGATGTCATTGCCGACTAAATTTGCTTTGGATTCGACGTAAAACAAAAAAAAAAAAAAAAAAAATTCGATGTTTTATCGAAGAGTGTATCAAATGCGTGTTAAACCTCGTAATATCATAAAGCGAAAAAAAATCTATGCATATAAAGAAATGATATAAAGAGATCCGAACGAAGCCGAGGATACGACTACCTGGTGTCGCTGGCAGAGAGCGGGCGATAATTGCATTGCTAATAGGACGACGGTGGGTGGGGAACTTCCACAGTTTATCGCACTTTATTGCTTTACCATGAGCGTCGCACCCTCTGGGCATTCTCCGATGGCGCGTGTTTAGTTTGCGCTCTCTGTCCTGAAGCTTAACGCTCAACGTGCAAAGACGATAACGATGTAACACGCGTGGGGGCATAATGTAGATATTAGATAAACGTGCCACCTCTCTCTCTCTCCTTTCCTCTTTACGAGAGCCATCATTGCCGCGATTTATTGCCCTCGCAGTCTCTCCGGGATTAATTTCGGAATAACTTTGTTCCTTGACCTCGATAATTAATTATTCCCGTCGACAAATGATAGCAATTGAAAGATAAAGAAAAGACGTTTAGAGATCTAAAAAGAGATCTTTCGTTTCGCGCATCGTTACGGAGATTATTCGATACGAATATTCAAAATTTTTGTGAACGTTTGGTGAGATCTTGCGAGCGTTCTAAAATGAACTGATCAAATAATGAAATCGTGTTAATAATAGGTTCAATTTGCTTGCAAACCCAAGAGCGCGCAATAACATTAAGAGATCTCGCTTATGAATATTCGAAGATGATTGTCGAGTTTGAATTGCGTTATCACTTTTATATCAACGTTTCGCGAACATTTCAGTTTACTTCATAAGAATTCCAAGAGCAATCTGATATATTTAGAATATAAGCGAGATCTGTTAATACACAAAGATAAAAATTAGTTAAAAAACCAAGTAATTTAAAAAAAAAAAAAAATTTGTAAAACTCTGTACATGGGCAATAACAAGAGAGATGAATCTCAATAAGCTCGATTTAGTTCACGGCAGATATCTCTTCATAAGTTCTCGAATAAAGATCTTTTTGCGCGACATCAATCATGTAGGCAGAATGGAAAAATAACCACGATCGACGATAAGAACACGCAAGCGAGTAATTATTGAGGATCTAATGAGACTCTGGTAAAAGTTGATTTCCATACTTTGGACATGAAAAATGTTTGTCGCGCGCACAAAAGATACGAATTCACATTTACCTGTACTTTATTGTCCAAAGAACGAGACCCGGTAAACACACGGAAAAATTCATGGCATTCGGTAAATGTAAGCTCTTTCGCAACATTAGAACGCGCATGTATAATATATTCGCACTGTGCACAAGCTTCTTTTGTATTTCTTAAAACATAAAAATAAAACATCACACACTCTCGAAAGTAAAAAAATGCACTTTCGCAAGATTAACGGAGCAACTGCGCGCGCAATTATAGTTGAATAAATAGTTTTCCGCGATATTTTTCTCTCTGTCTAGCGTTTACAAACGTCTCTCGCGGAAAAAACTCGATCGAACAAACTTTTCATAAGTCGGATTACCCGAAAGAAACGCGAAATTAAATCGACAAGATACGCGTGCGCAGCTTTTTTTTCCCTCAATTTGTTCTGAATTTTCCAACGATTTTCCTCTAACCGGACTGTCTGCACGGACAAACGTCCGCGCGCGCTCGTGTAATTGATAAAAATTTACTTCGAATTTCTTCGATTCAGCAAACGTTCGCCGATCCGTTACCTGAGCCGAGAGAAGCGTCGATGCCAGGACTCATGGGACTCGAGTCTGGCACGACGAGAAGAACGTACGAAAGAAGAACATCTTCGTACCAAAAATTACTTCCCGCGTTGAACTTCGGCTGCATTACAAATACGCCCGTTTCCTCTTGTAAAAGTGCTTCAAAGTTTCGACTCGCTTAGACGAGAGATCTCGAGACATCGTAAGGGAAAACTCGCGGAATCGTTTTCTAAGTTTGTACATGAGCCGAACAAAGGAAATTCTCCAAAACGTCCGAAACAAATGTGTAATTTGGCGCAAGATGTTGCAGTATTAAACTTTCGGGAGTTAAATATAAGTGTAACATGTATCTACTGCAAAAGAAAGTACGAGAAGTACTGTGTGCAATAACAACAGCACCAAACACAATTTCGATAAATTCTTATAATAAAAACAATAAAATAAAATAAAACAGAGACGCGCGTATAAAAGATAATAGAATTTTTGCTGCGGAGAGATAAATAATAATAAATAAAACTGTCAGACGCTACATAAATCAATATCGCATTTGAAATTGTTTGTTTACATGCAACTTGTAACAGTTTTTGCCTTAAATAAATTATAGGAGTTACGTGAAGAATGTTTTTACGTTCGAATAATTTATATGAAAATAGAAAACTTTTGTAAACATATCTGCTCGTAACATCAATTTCCACTGTGTAAAATAAATTTTGTAATTTACAACAACATAATAAAAACAAGTCACTTACCTTTCTTATGTTTGCTGATCGTAATCAATTCGCCATCTTCACGTTTCCACATTAATGTCGGCGGTGGATATCCATCGGCCTTGCAGGTGAGGGTAACGTTCTGATGTTCCCGAACTGCCACAGTGCTCTCGGTGGAAAGAGCATCCACTATATTTGGTGGCACTAAAACACACAAGGTGTGGGATTCAGGAATATAGTATGTTCCATTCTCCAAAACTTTGCTAGATCAGTAGTTCAGTAGTTGTTCGGTTGAAAAATAAAATTGCCAGTTTTGAAATAAAACAATAATATTTACCGACAACGTGAAGAAAGCCAACTTGACTTATCATCGGATTGGTATTTACTTGGCACATATAGTAACCCCGGTCGTCCTGCTGCACGCTAGCAATGTGAAGCAACCACGTTTTCTGATTGTCATGTGACACCGAAAACCTGGGCATTTTCACGACCACGTGTTTGTGGACAGTGAGCAGCATTTGACGACCAACATGAATCCACGCCACCTATAATCAAAAATAAGCCACACATATTTAAATGTATAAGCTATCATCTGAGGTTAATTTTTAATTAACGTTTTACTGTACGCATGTAATTTTATATTAATATAAAAATTCTATTATAATTTGAAAAGAATAACATATTATGTTTTTCGATTGCTATCAAGTTTGCATAAGCAAATTGTAACAGTCTAGTGGAATTACAATCAAAAGCAAGCTCTCGTTTTCTCTCCAAGTAAGATGTTCGTTAATGTTTTCATGTGCAACGTATATGAATATATATTTGATCATCCAAAATCCATAGAATCTGACGTTGACAGAGTTCAGTTGAATAACCTTCACGTTGAAAATTTCAACGTGTTCGCTTAATATACCTCCGACACGAATACGAGTTCATAAAGCCAGGAAGCAGCCGTCCGCTTATCGCGCCGCGTTTCTCCATTGAATATTTCCACATTAGCACATCTCGGAGTCACATCGTCTCCGAAACTCGCAGCAAAACGTCAGCGAAAAATTCTCTTCATCTCGAGAGAGTCACGAATAGTCGTCGCCCGAAGCTGCTCGCGAATCTGCACGGCGGCGCGGGTTTCGGCGATCGATATCAAATTTGTCTCGCAATCCCGTGTTGCGTCAATGCCAGCATCATCGAGCTGTGCTACGCCAAATATGCCGACGAGGGAAGAAAGAAAAACAGCGGGGCTAAACGCAATACGCGCCGCACACATGGGGATGTATTATGCGCAGCCGTCATGAGGCCAACATTATTACGCCGGTAGTTTATGTTCCACCACGAGGTAACTCGCTCTCTAACTAAGCTCATTTCGCGACAAAGCTTATGCACTTTCAAGGATTTCTGAGTTAACCTGCTTCCCAAACCTTCACCCTAGTTTTCCTTTTTGCCAAGGCAACGCCCGGTTGCGCAACGGCGGCAACCATTGTTTCTCATTTTTTTTTTTGCTCTTAACTCTTTTTTAAGTACACTTCCTGGTAAGTGAGACAGCGACGAATCCCGTCCGGCTTGGTTGCTTTTATCCGGGTCGCATTTTCCTTCCTTGTCTTTCTGCACGAGAAGGCGCGCTATTTAGTGTCACCTTGCCACGTAAAGGAATAACAGCGACTGTAAGGATTTTCTCGTAAAGAAATGACTTTTGAACGCCCACTCGTAAAATTTATTTATTTTTACAATTCGATTAGCTCTACATGATATCTCATTGCGTTACAATGCTGTGTTAAAAGATGTAATCTATAAATAAAGATAAATTTGACCTTTGAAATTAAAATCTAAAACGTAGTAGTGGTATACAGTTTAAAATAAACTATATACATCATCAAATTCTGTGGGATGTTTCGATTTTTAGTTTAGATCATCTTCAGGCGATCTCATTAATGCAAAGCAATCAATGTTGAAAAAATTGCGACCGCAAATCGACGGCCGAAGGAAGGTCAGCAACAGAGACACGATGGCATTGAGTGTCAAATGTAAAAAAATGTATAAGTATTTTATTTTTATATTATTCGTATCGCGTGAATTAATTTGAAAATTTCATAATGTAATAAAACGCGTTAATTTTCCGTCACTGCACACAATAGAATTTCAATCGCTTGTTATTTAATGAAAGTGAAAGTTGTAACAAAGAAAAAATTGCGTTAAAATTTAATATTTATAAGAAAGTGAAAACACTTTCAGCGTCAAAATTTAAAAGTAAAATAAAAATGATTAACGCAAATGATTCTCTAATTGTGAAATAAAAAGTATTTAAATTTACTACCTTTTTTAATTATAATATATCTTTATTTTTAATTATAATTTTATTTTTAATTATAATATATCTTTATTAGTTTAGGTATATTTCTCAATGACACATTCTCGGAGTTTCACGTTTTTCTTTTACTGCTCCCATTTAGATTCGTTATATCGTTGCTTACACAATTAGTAACATCTGTATTCGCGTCTTTTCCGCGTTTTTGCTTGCCTCTTTTTTCCGACGTATATGTTGTACTTCCTCAAATTAAGCCAGAACTATATAGCCCGTTCGGACAAGCTAAATTGTATCATTTCTATCCTTTCTTCTCTTTCAACTCGCGTAAAAACTTTTAGCTTTTATTCGAAATGTTCTATGTACATCATATGCAATGTTCGTAAAGAGAAATAATGTTACATCATACATCAACGTTATTTCAGAGTAATAGCATTCACGAAAAGTCAAATTCTTGGATTATTTTAAAATTGAAGAGACAAAGGTTGTGTAAAGTAAAATAATTTATCAAAATGTATAATAAAAGACGCCCGCGATAATTTAAAAAAATTCAAGAGAAATCATATTTCAAGAGATTTCAATAAATGAAAAAATTTTTAACAGTTTCTTAAAACGTCAAATTACTTCAAAGGCACAAATAACTGCGCGGTTATTCCAGTAAATAAGAAATCATTTGTTTCAACGGCATTCGGCGTTAAACGAATTATCACGCTTTAATCGACTTATAGCGAATCCAAATCCGACGAGACATTTACATTTAGCAGTCTCTGTTTTCCGCTTTATCCTGGACTCTTTTCCCCACAGGTATTTCGCGTAGAAACTCGGCAACAACTTCGTCTAGAATTGTTCGGGCTATGTACCGCTTCTCCTTTTCGTCGGGCACTCGAGTAAGCAAAAGTTTCAGCTACGAAAATCACAGTACATCCTGGGAAAGTTCTTTAAACAGTCAGACGCCACTGACGGTTCTAACGAAGAGCTGAGAAGATGGATGGTGGCGGATCTCTCGAGCTCTTGTCTGCCAACAGGATTTTGCCGGTTTCTCCGGGATCTCCGAACTCGTCAGATTCTGCTTCGCGTGTAATTCTAAAATCCACTGCGCAAAGACGCGGTCTTCTCAGACTGTTGACAGATTTTCCCGCACGTTCTCACCGCAGAAAAAAAAGACAAAAAAAAAAAAAAAGACAAAACCGAAATGATAACTGTTTAATAGTAAAAGTTTCGAGAGAGATAACACGAATTCGGCAGTGTCGGGGATGGGATTTTAACAGTTATTTATGCTGACGACTCAATCGTTTGCGGATCGATTTTCGGTGTCAAATTTTTTTCTCAGCGTCGAAATTAAAAATTGGCACTGTTGTGTGAATATCGTACGAAACTTCTCGCGCGAGATTACTAAGTTTTATTTTACGTACATCTCTCGGGGCAATTTTCGCGACGGTTTATAAGCAAGGCTCGCCGGCAGGAGCAGCGCGCTGAGAAAGTTCCTTTCTCCGAGGATCTTCCAGAAAAGTCACACCGGTAGCGCGTTGCAAGAAACTTTCGTAGTCACGCACTGCGGATGGCTCCTAAGTTCTAACGAAGAGAAAAAAAAAGTCTTCGCGCGAGAAGATGAGTGCCCGCTTATATAAATGTGTTCCCTGGAGTGTCTCGAAAATTAAATCGGTGACAGAAAAAACAAATGTGAAACGTTAGAATTCCGCATCAAATTTCAGAATAGAAAGCGGTCGGGAGAAGCAAAGCAAATGTGCATAATAATAATTTACGCTTTAATCAACAACAAAAACAAAACTATTATAATAACACAGTAGCTTATGTGTGACAAAAACAAATCTTAAAAAGAAGTGTGTGTGCGTGATGTGTTTTCGTAATATATAAGTAGCTATAAAATTACATCGGTCTTAAATGGTCTTAAGAAGAACTTCTGCCGGTTGCGAGTTCGATTGAAAACTCTGGCAGACGTTCAAAGCCACGGTCTCTCAATTGGTTATCGTCACAAAAAAAAAATTCGATTTCTATCGTAAAATATCGTCACGAGGTAAACGAAGTAAATATCGCGTTGCAATGACAAATCGCAAGCTGTCAATTAATTATTAAAATGCAATTCTAATTTGGCTTAAATCGAACTTAGTAAAATTTTGATTGGTCACACGCTGCAACGTGTGTTTGACTTATTATTCAAATTTATGTGCATACGTGTGTGTACATATTTTTTTCCACTAATGCATTCGTGCAGTTAGTTTGCTTCTTTCGCGCACTGTCGCCGACAGCGCGCAATCTTGAAAGTTTTCGCATGCGCAACGCGAAAAATAACGCGTAACAAAATGATCTTTCACGCGGAGAAACGGTGATTAATCACGATTGTGTGTTGCGAAACTATTAACAAAAAAGAACCGCCGTATAAATACGTATCGGCGCGTATAAAAAAGTATCGGGGAACTATCATCTAAATTATAACGAATCTAGTGACCGTGACGGATTATATATATCTATACACGTATAGCACAACGTAGGTATCTAGTTTTTAACAATTACATCTGCGCGTGATTTATCTAACTAGCGAGCGAAGATAGAAATTCCGCGCGTTTTGATATCTATTGACAGTGCGATGGATGATTCAATGCAATCTAGATTCACGCGTTCATCGGCTCGTTTCGATCAGTTTTATGCTTAACCTCGCGCCCGAGAGCTCGCTTTATATACGAATTTTTTTGGCGATCGACTGACAGCCCGAAAGCTGATAAGAGGATATGCGATAATTAAAATATAGAAACCGTAACGCAAGCTCCGTGCCACGAGTAAAATGATTTTGACTTCCTCTCCCCCCGTTGAATGCAATCTGCTTTGCGATATCGATTGTGTTTCTCTATTTACGCATATAAATCCATATTTATATGTATTATTTCTAGCCAATACCAAATTTCCAAGTCAAAATCAAAAGCAAACAAGAAGTGGAATAATTCATGACAGCTGCGACTTAATGCGGCAACAATTTTACAATAAAAATCGCTAACACACATATATACGCACACAAAACTGTAACAGAATCAAAGTTTATCGCGATATTGTTTTAAGATAATCAGAGAAAAAAAAAATTTAAAACTTGACTCTCAAATATTATTTAGCGACAAGTAACGGTTCGAAGAGAGGGGGGGGGGTAATAAAGCCGAGAATAATTATGATAAAAAAAACTCACAAGCACGTTAAAACACTTAAATATACTTCCGTTGTTTCGAAAGTACCGATTGAATG